AAATTGGTAATAAAAAAAAAATAGCCAGAAAAAAAATTTTTGTAAAAAAAACCCCTTTTTTTTTTTTTTTTTTTTTTTTTACTACTCCTGTTAATCATAATATGCCAGGAATAAATGAAGAGTTGGCAAAGATATATCGTTGGAGTTAATGCCTTTTTTTTGACCCCACATAATAATTCATCCAAATAATCAAGTCAAAATAAATCCAGGTATCGTTGGAGCATCCCGCTGCCAATAATAAAACCTTGACTCTCACCTTTGAGTTTATTGTGCTCAGAGTCAGCAGGGAAAAGGCAGTCGGGGAAGAGCTTGGGGAAGGTGAGGCCCGCGTACTTTGGCCGGTTCTCCACGTAGTTCCTCACCGTGGGCTGCAGCTTCTTCATGAACTCTGGAGAGGGCGTGCCCAGCTGCTCTATCACCTTGTTCCACTGGTCAATGTCTGGCGTGGCAGGTCAAGGTTAAAGGAAACACACCTGGAATATGTAGCATCGTATCATCTCACAGAATGTTAGGGAGATGTGTCATAATATTCTAGTTAAAAAAAAGAATAATAATAATAATAATAATAAGAAATTCATTTGCTTATCGTTTATATCGACACAAATCTGCCGAAGAGACTTTCTGATGAGACAGTTGTGGATCATGAGCGGTATTCTTACTGTTTCTTTTCTTCTTTTTTTATAACCAATAAATATGTTGCATCATCATTCTGCCAGCTAGTGCTTTATTTAGCTGGGAGTGTACATTTTATTTTATTTTTTTTAGCATTTTCACGTGGTATATTATGTATGTTTCACTCTTTAAAACACAGTGCCCCAATTATCAGTGTTGGCACATGTCTATGCTTTTGTATGCGCCAGATTCCATCAGGGGAGCTTATTTGTCAAAGATAATGTTGAGTGCTTGCAGCTTTTATGTAAAGTAAGTTTTTAAAGTATTTTTACATACCTGTAAGGCGTTTGACGGTTAAATGTTTTTAGATATACTCTAAAAACACTATTCACTGTATTACTACAGTGAATAGTAACACCTATTCACTGTCACCGTTGCACATTGAGTGAGAGCCAGTAAGGTCCCATTTTCCATCTCTCACAGCTTTAATCCATATTCCTCCTCGCTACAGGTTCGGATTTGGTCAAACAGCCTGAGGTGTTTTTTTTTTTTGTTTTTTTTTCCCTCAGCTTGTCAAAAATGCTTCCAGGCTTCCATATGAATCAGAGAGAGGTGGTATGCAGAGGGTGGAAGGATACGGTCAGACCCAGGGAACAGAACTGTCCCTCTCATCACCTCTCCAGAGATGCAGCCCACTGACCACATGTCCACTGGTGTCACACACGCACGCACACACACGCACACACACGCACACACACACACACACAAAATCATGTAAGCTGTGATGTTCTAAGACATCTTTGCTGCTTCCAGTAACTACTGAAGTTGGAAACTACGTCACTTCTCTTGCATTTTGACCATATTTATACTTTTAGAGGAAAAAAAAAAAAAGAGAAAGATTTCTAGTTTTCAGTAAAAATTTAAGAATTAAAAATATCGGCAGCAGTGTGAGTGATTATTGGTGGGATCGGCCCGATGATGATCCTTGTACATGTACATTGACAGGTTTAAGCTCGCCCTACGTCCCCTAATCTAAACAGAGAGCGGAGAATAACATAATCAAAAAAATCAATTGATGATCATCTGATGTCTGCCTATAACACAAGTACATCAAACTGTATATACCTCTGCAATTAAACAGTCTACCCTAAATAACAACCTTCAGATTCTCTTTGACATTGCTGCTGCAATCGTCTATCATTAAACAACCACTAACCTTGTGGCCTACAGTACCGTGACCTATCTCAGCGGACAGATTGCTGCACTCCATCGTCATTTGCTGGACAAAGCACAGGGTTGACTCAAACCTCAATAAGGTCAGTATACTTTAGGCCAACAGAGTTAAATATGAGGTGCCAATCCACCACTGCCAAACGAGCTAAAAATTAACCACATTTTTGTCTGAGCGCACACTGATTTGCAGTAAAAAGAAAAACTGATGATGGGGGCAGATACAGATGACAACAATTTCTGTAATAGCCGAAACAGAAGGGATGAGAAGGAGCTGAGCTCATTGCAGGGTTTTCTCGCTGTTCAGCTCATTAATCTTCCCGGAGCCGCAAGTACGGAGGTCGCAGAGTGAGGAATACCCCCCCACACACACCCCACTCCCAACACCTGGTGTCTGATCGTTCACTATGGCCATTTAGCTGCAGTAAGTCACTGTTTTAAATAGCAAAGATGGTCTTTTTTTTTTTTCTTTTTTTTGCATGTTGTCAAAATGAGACACAAAAATACAAAACAAATCAACTATTCCTGAAGCATTTCGACATGCTTAATGTATCCACTCACATGTGAGGTCCTGTGCAGGTGACTGAGCTGATTTGATTTACAATCAAACATAATGCTGCGAACACTGCAGCACAACCAGAACCACAATGGTTACTAGTCAAAAACATCCTAACGTCCTGTATGCTGCAACTGTATATGACATATATGGTTCGTGATTTTCTTCTTTGAGCCGTAATGAATCAGAAAGTTGTCTAACTCATTAGGAGCATATGTTTTGAGCGAAGGCAAAGAGGAGGTTATTTGTCCAAGGCTTCAACAACCTCATGAGCCATTTGTCACAAATGATATTTGAAGCACAAAGATATTTAAACGCCATCTGCAGACATGAAGCTCTTGTTCGGGCAGCATGGCTGCATGTGGAAATAGGCCAGCTTCAGAGCAGTTGTTTGTCATATTTGAGTAGCCATGACAAAAAAGAGTAGGGTTGTCCTTTTTGTTGGTGTAGTTACTTTTTGAACTTTAAACATCTTGTCTTTGTAGTGTACTTAACTGAATACATGATTTGCAAATTATGGCATTCAGTTGTCATTTATGTTTTACACAGCGTCCCAACTTCATTGGAGAAATACTGGAATTGTTCAGATGCATGAATCCTCTGAGAATACATCATAAAATATTCATGTCGTGAACACGCATCCTCTTCACAATGTCACGTAATTTAAACTATGCAATGACTAACAGACACTCAAACTGAGTAAGCAAATGCTGTGACTCTCGTATGTAGGCTCTCATAGATGGCAAGATGTCCTTCATATGGAAAATTTTAAAAAAAACATAACGTTGACTATTTAGCAGAAATACTGACATTCTCACTGCAAGCACACACACTTAGTTGCACTCGAAAACACACGGCGCACATTTTAAATATTCAGAGACAAGCAGAGAAATATGTATTTGTCAGGAGAGGTTTGAATTAAAAGTCAACACATATGAAGAGGAAGTGCTACTAAAACAAATGTTGGAACTACAAAGAATAAACATGTTATATATAATGTTGGTCAAATGTGAGTGGTTTTAGTGCACCTCTGTGACATACAGCAGAAATCAGGTCTACTAAAAAAATCATGAAATCTGACAATTTCCATGTAATCGCCAAAAAAAAAAAAAAAAAACTGTGATTGTTTTTTGTCTTCTTTTTTTGCAGTATTATTTTTGGCATATTTGCCTTTAATGAAGTATTTAAAATGTGTTGTACTCTGAAAGAAATCCCTGCATTTCTGTTTGGTTATTTTCAGCCTTTTAAGATTGCTAGTGCTGATTAAACAACAACAAAAAAATAATAGTAATAATAATTCTATAACTTCTTGTCCAAACTGGACAGGATTATTACAAAACCAAATCAAGAAGGTATCAGGGAAAATGTGTTGCAGTTCACTGTTTTTCCAGTACAATACTACAGATTGATGGTTTTTGTTTTCAAGGCACTGTGTCTATTTCAGCTGTGATATTTACTTTTTAAAGCAGTCCTGTCTAAGGGTTTTGAAATTAGGTCAGTTCATTATAAAACCAAATGTGTCAAAGCTACCTTAAAAAAAAAAAAAAAAAACTCTACTGGCGGTACCATCACACAATCTCTCTCTCTCTGTATTAGTAAGGATACAGTCCCGGCCAGGGAAAAGGATTTTGTGGCGCACCATTTCTCCCATGATGCACCCCACCGACCAAATGTCCACTGCACGCAAAGAGGTGAAGGTGGCACAAAGAGGGAGCAAAGAGAAAGAGAGGGGGAAAACAAAGGTTAGAGCAGTCTACTGCGATTAGCAAGATTATTCAATAGGAGGCATGTTACGACTCAGCGTGCACACACAAGATAAAGAGCTGAAGGAGTAACAGTGAAAACGAAAGCAGAGCGTTGGAAGGACTGATTATCTGAGGGAAACTCAAAGCCCACAGGCTGTCATTTTAAGTTAGAAGTGTGACTAATGAGTCATAGCGAGGCTGGCATTCAGTCATGTGTCTTGATGTTCTGAGGGCTTTTAATCAATGACTCACTGCGCCAGCACTTCAGCTCTATTGCAATTCAACCAGAATGGCGTCTTTGCCTTTTGCAATGCTTAAGCTCTCCGATCACAGCTGCAGGTGCTGGACTCTCGAAACTTTTCACTTAGAGTTGTCTGTCTGACTTGACAAACACTGGCAAAGCTCACCATTTTCTTTGTATCCCATTCCCAGGATGACCTCTGGGGCTCTGTAGTATCGCGTCACCACATACGGGGTCATCATGAAACTAGTGCCCGCGGTTCTAGCCAGACCGAAGTCCAGGATCTTCAGGGTGCAATCAGACTTCACCACTATATTGCTTGGTTTGAGATCCTAGAGAGGAAAAAAAAAAAAAAAAAGAAAAGCACGTGCAATCTTTAAATTATTGAACATCATATTTCCTATTGAGGAGGAGCTGCTATGTGAGAGGGACACCAGTCCTCTCTAATCTAAGAGATTATTTATTCATCTGAACAAATTAAACACAATTTTGTTTGTTTACATAATGCAAATATGTGAAATTATACAAAACCTACTTGCTTATGTGGATGTATTTTTTGTTGTTGTGAAATACCCTAATTTGTATTATTCTAGTTCTTTAAAGGAAAAAAAAAAAAAAGCAAATACTGATCTATGGTGGGTCACAACGGGAAGTTTTTTGTCCTTGTAACAGACCAACACAAACCAAGCAAATATATATTCTTTTAAATGTAAAATATATCTTATTTGCAAATCTGAAAATAACATTTTATTAAAACTACAACAAACTATATTTGTGTTAGTGTTAGCACAACAGATCTTCTGTTATAAAATTGTCATAAATTGTAGTCCATGTAACAACTTATTAATTTGAACTATTTTTCTGTACTTTTGTCTATATTAATAATCTTTATTCTGTTTGGTTTCCCAAAAAGAGTTTTTTTTTTTTCACTTTTTTGTTGAAAACGAGTTGAATATTTTTTCCTGTGCGTGTTATTGTGTTAATCGGTACTTCCTGATTTGTGAAATGATCAAAAGATATGTACAACTTCCGACTTAAAAATTCTAAAACATAAATGTTCAACTTAGCAAATAAATAAAAAGAAATCTCTCATTTACTGTCAAAAATATTGATAATATTTTTCAAGTGTATCTTTATCCACACAGATCAAATATGGCATCCACATTTCATAGTTAAAACCTATTTTTATATTTAAACCTTCCCATTTAACGTATGCTAACTTTGTAAATTTCCTCCAGTTGGGCTGTCAGAGAAATGCGAAAACAGGAAACACTGGATCCTGCTTGACATTTCACACAACTCGGCTTATTTGTAGAGACTTATCTGCTTCGAAAAGTAAATAGACTCTCATATTACAAACAATATGATCGCTGCCAAAATATTGTGCAAGCAGACTGTAGGCTTTACTACTTTCAACAATTGATCATCGTGACAGATTTGGAAGCACACAATGCAAAGCTAATTTGACAGGTAGAGATGAAAAACAAAAAAACAAAAAAAAAAAAACCCCACTCACTGTCTCCTCTTACCCTGTGAATAATACCGGCTGAGTGCAGATGTTTGATACCGCATAGCATCTGGTAGAGCAGATAGGACATTCTCTCGTGGTCAAGCTCCATCTGAATCACCTGGCACAAGTTGGCATCCATAAGCTCCATCACGAGGTACCTGGGAAAATGCCATGACCAATTCAGTAAATGGCAACTTGTTTGACGTTTGACTGGTTAGTCGTTAACGTCACGCATTTTAAACGTTTCTGCATGGACTACAACAAAAAAAAAATCTGTTGACGCATGAGACGTATAAGTCCCCGAGTAGAGGAACTGTTCTAAAAACAAACGTGCTCTCATTTATGATTCAGTACGAGAACATGACGCCTCTATCGGCTTTCGCTGACTACCCCCGGAGCGGCTCTGCTCAAACGATTGAGGAACACAGAATGGACACGAAATTTATATAACAAAGACAGACATTTTGCTTTATATCAAAACAAAGATTAATAAAAAAAAAAAAATAACAAAAAGGAACTCACACATCTTGGAATTCCTCTAATGATTTCTGTGGCGTGAAGACATTTAATAAGCTGATTATCTGAAAGAGAGAAGATGCAGTCAGAGGGTTATTATACAGGTAATCAAAAAGGGAAAATAAACTAATTGATTCAAAGCGACTGTGAGAAGATAATGACTGCTGAGAAGGACTCTGGTGAGAGAGGACAAAATAGACTGGAGAGGTGGAATGGAGGCAAGAGGAGGGGATAAAGGCTGGTGACAGGAAACAAAGAGAGGGAGACAAAGTGTAGCAGTGGGGATTACAGTCATCCCTCCAAGTGCTCTTGGTTTCACTCTCTCTCACCAGTTTGCTGCACTCCTGCGGGCGCAGAGTTTGGCACAGTCACAACATCACACGGGGTCTAGTGTGCACTTTGTAGCAGAGCGATTTGGCCAGAAAATATATATATATATATATATATATATATATATATATATATATATATATATATATATATATATATATATATATATATATATATATATATATATATATACACTTTCTTTGTCCCAATGCATAAGAAAAAGAAAAAACAATAACTCACATTTTTGTGATTGACACATTTCATGAGCACCAACTCCCGGTATGCCCTCTTGGCGTGGGTCTGGTTCTGGAAGGGTCTGCTCAGTTTCTTTATGGCTACATTCCTGTCCAGGACAGCATCATAGCCCGCACTGCAGAGACAGAGAGAGAGAGAGCGAGAGAGAGAGAGAGAGAGAGAGAGAGAGAGAGCAGAAAAACACATAATCATCAGCATTCTTTCAGCATTCATAGCTGGATGGTTATGTGGGTGCATGTGGTTGCACAGTAATTACAATTTGTAGCACAAGAGCAAATAGAGGATTTTCTGCATGTTGAAGTTATCAATGTAAAGGAGACCTACAGACAGTTTCTTTCAAACATATTTACAGCTGAACCAGATATTTACATAAACTATATCAAAATACAGAAACTTTTTTCTTTTTTTTTTTTTTTGCTAAATGTTCATCGAAAATATTTAGTCATTTGTACACCTCTTCAGAAGGGGCTGTAGGAGGGAGGAACATAACGCCTGGAACAAATTCACAATGAAAAGGTGTGAAAATATTTCTCCATTTTTAGCCTCCAATGAAATAAACCTTAGGGTAATTAAAGGACTGTTTTCACTTCACAAAGCAAGCAGTTTGGCAAAATAAAATTTATCCAGTAAGAAAACATGAGTCATAACCGGTTGCTTTGCTAGCACAGTGCAACCCTGACTCTGGAGACCTTTTATATTGGATCTCCTTGCAGTCCTTTCTGTTGACTCTCAGAGAACAGGTGTGGAGGGAAAACAAGACATAAAAATGTCATTTAATATTCTGTATCTTTCCATATTGCCCTTCGATGCTGTAAAGGGACTATCAGTGTATTTTTATGTTGTCGTGCAGAAGATGCTGAGTGCAATGCGCTGTGGTTTTAAATGCCTCTGTGGAGAATGCATACGATGGATTTATAAGAGCATTTGTCCAACAAGGATTTTAGCAAGTCATCACTTTTCCAGATGAGTGAAAGGTGATGTCATGAATAGCTAAACTACTTAAAACCTTGATCCATCTTTAGGATTCCCATATGAAAGCATGAAAGCTCCCTCTAAATAAGCACCAGTGCAAGGAAGTCTGATCTTAACATTAACATTTTGTGCAGAATATTGTATATGTTTGTAACATTGTCAGCTCCACCACAGCGGACTCATTTTTGTGGCTAATTTAGAAAAAAACAAAACAACTATGTCTTTTTTTTCTGGATTTTCGATCATTAGCATTATTTTGTTAATGACTTATTAGTTTTTAACCTGTTCACAATATTATTCATGTCATGTAACTGGGTATGCCCCACAGAAAGCAGGTAAAACATTAGCCGTAAAAATGCAAAGAGCATTTTGAAGAAAGAAAACAATATTTTCTGTGCATTTTATCACCAACTAATGAACTGGAAACAATGAAACAGAAGTCGAATTAGCAGTGACTCATATTCAAGCAGAGCAAACACAACAAAGTTAGCCTATGCTTTTGCAAACTGCTCTTCATGCAATCATTCTTTTAAAGTGGCAGGATATGATTTTCCTGTCTCCCCGTCCTTGATATGGCTGCCTGTCAGCGCTGATCTTTTTGCTGCGCATAGAGCAGCTGATATATTAGCCTTCAAAATGTTTGGCGTTCATACTAAAAGTCTACGTTTATAAAGTAAGGTTTTTGTTGTTTTTTTTTGCCAAATTTTTAATTGGAATTGCAACGACATTTGTTGCAAGGTGAAAAATGTCAAATGTCATCGATTTAAATAAGCACGCTAGAGTTAGCTTAGCACTTTAGCAAACTGCTCTACATGTGTTGAAGACTAGATGTACATATGTCCCCAAAATATCTGTCAATGTCCAGAAAAATGTACGCTACGCATCTACTACATCATTGGTGAGTAAATTAACAGGGATAAAATATTGGTGAAATATAGTATGCTAAAAGTAGCTTCAAATTGAAGCTACTGACTTTTCAGACGTTACAAAGCACATCACACTGTAACTCAGCATCAGCAAATACCTGATTATAACTCCAATACATGAGTGTTTGTATGGACTTGGCATAATTACTGGCAACAACACTGGTAAAATAAATCTTGACAGAAAGCAAGTTTTTCCTTATTTGCATGTTCTCCGGCTAAACTAGGATGAATCCTAGTTTTCTGATTGCATAAGCAAAGCAGAATGTGTCCTCGCTGACTTAGGCATAATCTTTTAAATCTATCTGCTTGTGTGCATGTTGCTTATTTGAGGCTAGCTGTTGGAACTGAGTCACACAGATGTTTATGTAAATGTGATTATGTCACCCATCCGAGGTTCGCACCGAAGATAGCCAGCAATCTTTTTTTAAAATGTTTTATCACCATGTTGAGAGCAAACAGTTATTTCAGCTTATACAAAAAAAACATTTTTCATAATATGTGTCAATGCATCTGTAAACATCTGAAAAAGATCAGTTTTCATGCTTGATGTCTCAAATCAGACTGTTTCCTTTTTTTTTTTTTTTTTTTTTGTCTGCTGTTACCACCAGATAACACCAGATGCTATCTGGGGGCAAAATCAAGAAATATACAGCTGGGAAGATACAGTTTGATCTCCTCTCTGCAATTGATCTCTAAAAACATTCTCCAAACCTGCCCTCAAGCCAACCTGCAGCCACTAAGAATTGGTTTTGCTACCTTTTGGACCGAAGCAGCAAAAGGCAGAGTTTATGAGAGGGCACATGGAGAGCAAAGGTGTTGAGACGCATCCTAACGCGAAACACGTCAACTTGGATCATCGGTGCGGAGGATTCTGAGAGGTTGTATATTAGCACAATGACACAGCATTAGCATGAGCATGAGCATGAGTTATGAATGTGTTTGGTGGATCGACAGAGACGGGAAGAGGCATTTCTTTAAGTGGAGCTTTGGCAGTCGTTCCACTGCATTCTGACAGGGAAGGCGTGAGGTGAATTACAATGAAAGCTGCCTCCCTCTGCAATCTGGATTAAGGATTCATAAGAAGACTGTGGTGACAGACCCTTAAAATCCATTTATCTACAATGCAAATAGAAGATGTGATATCAGCTCACACCTGAGGAAAAAAAATATATATATCACAAATACTGACCTTGATCCCTCTAAGGAATGTCTTGTTTGTTTATATAGATATATAGTCATAAAGAATACTCCATATTGTCATAAAGAACATTATGACAATGTAGAAGTGGCTGAAAATCAGCTGATGATTTTAAGACATCAGCTGCAACTTCATTTTAGCAGCGTTTTTATTACTTGAAATAGGAATTCATAAACTCTTGCTGCTGTCACATTAAAAAAGTTCCATATCAGAAGTTTTGCTCAGATAATCAGACTATGAAATGAGCTTGTTTTTCTTATTCTTAAAAGCACAAAATGAATCAGAGAGCATTGAACATTCGGTTGAATCAGCTGCATAAGATGTTAAAAACCCTTGAAAAGAATTATAAATGCTTACTAAAAACAAAAGCTTGTCTGAATTACTAATAAATGCCTTAAAAAGCATGCTTTTATGCAGTTTCTAGATCAGAAGGCTGAAAGTAGAGTTTGTAAATGCTCTCTTTGGCCAAATGTGAAACCAATGACTATATGTCACAGATTTTTATCAACATTTGAAGCAATAAACCACAGAACAAGGAGACCCAACAATAAAACTGAGACAACCCAAACATTAAACACAACAAAGAGCCTCATCAAGCAGCTTGACGCTATTTAAGCCAGGGCATTAAAAAAAAAAGGCGCGGCTGTGAACTTACCAGACAATTCCCTGAGCTCCAGAACCAATGGGCTTTAAATTCTGGTAACGCTTTAGAACTGTGAAGGTGGAGTCTCCCACTTCCACACTGTAGAACTGGTTGTCCACTTTGCTTTTGCTCATGTTGTAATGTTTGGCAATATATGACACATCCACTTGTTTGCCAAAACCCTGCGCGAGTCAAATACAGCACAGTAGTGAAGTTAGTGTTGCTGAAAGAGAAAGGCATGGTGTACATTTACAGCAGGAAACCCCAATTACTATGTCCAGTGCAATTAAGTATAATCATAAAATAAAAGGAGATATAGCATGTATAATATATAGCATATATAATATGTGTATTTTTTCTTTTTTTTTACTATTTAACAATCAGCATTTAAATTGTTTCTACACCTGATTACTTGTTTTAATTGTATGTTATACCATGTATTTCTGTTTATAGGCACACCAAAGGTAGCATTTGATAAAATAAATGTCTGATGTTGGCGCTCCTGTCTGAGAAAGAACTTTTTAACAGTCTCTCTTTTTTTTTTAATAGTACTTTTTTAAGTACTTTAGATGTTTTATGGTTTTCTTAAGTATGGTACATTTTAAATCCCCTGAGCAGTTCAGTGGGATTCAATTCTAGGCTTTTACTCAAGTCTTTTTATTACTCAATTTTCTGCTATACTGCCGAGGTTTATTATTCTGTTGAAAGGTTCACTGTCAGTTTAACTTTTGCTTTTTCATAGATGGCAGCACGTTGTCATCATGTGGTGCTCAATATCATTAAAAAGAGAAAAACGTAAAAGTTGTTACTCTTAAAAAAAGCCTCAGCTTCGTCTGACGATATCGTTCCAAAACGGTCTGGCCTTTATTTGCCTGTTTCAGATCCTAAGAAGGTACAAGGTTACATCGCTTCACACTTATTGATGTTCATAAACTATATAACACAGAAGTAAATGATGCACATTTAAAAGATGTATTTCTGTTCTGTAGACACAACACTTTGACACCGATAGTTACGAAATTCACTCTCACAGGAGCGCTCTTCACTACCACGATCAACAACAAATCCTTAACCAGAGGATTATGTGTTAAGACTCAAAACGTTTGCAACGACGTTGCAATCGATCCCAGCACCCTGGGATTTGTGTGCAAGGATTTAAAGGTACACTTTGTGCAAAATCGGTTGTCGCCTTGCAGAAACATAAATCCTGTTTTTTTCTACCCGAAAATACAGGCAGCAGAATAAATACTGGGCATGTTATTACATCAGGGCCACTAATTGCTTCCCTCAGATGAAGACATTATTACATCTTTGTGCACACAATATTTAAGCTGTAATTGCGGGCATGGAAATAGTGGCACGACGAAATAATAATTACGTTAATTACGGACTGTAATTACTTAGCAGTTCACAAACCAAATAAAGCCGCACTGTTGGGGCACGACTGTGTAAGTTCAGCCTTAAAGCTACGTCAGTCAGGAACCAGGAAAATGTACATTATGACATGAATACACATAACCTGCGATTTGATTCATTTTTAATGTTTGGCTTTATAGGAGTACCAACAGTGGCTGTTAAACATTAACATAAGATGCATGTGCAATCCAACAGAGCATGCAAAGCTCCTGAGTACTCTGAGCCGCAGTGAAAAGGTCCAACGCAGCTCTCACACACATACTACACGTATGGATTTTATGCATATGTGAAATGAGTTTGGCATTTCAGCTATACGAGGTCAACAGGAGGCGGGCAACTAAGCCCCACTTTAGCCAAATGTCTCAGATACAGATAAGCACTTGAGGTACTGAACTTCAGCAGGAAACTAGGTCTGCACTGGAAATAGTTTTGCATACTTAATTGTTCACGGTGAGGTTAAAAGCTCTTCATTCGCTTTCATCTACTTTTGGAATTCCCACAGGAAATATACAGCGATTCCAGACCGTTATGCAGGATTTGTTTTGTTGTTTTTTTTTACATGAAATGAGAGGTTTTGTGAGCACCGATCGCTGTAGAAGCCTATCAGAAACACAGCAAACACAGCAAAAACACACATAGAAAATACGGGGAAATGGAAAGGATTGAATACTGTACCTTCTTTACCTGTAAGGAACACACACCTGACAAAAGGCTATCTTTACATCCAGGACTGGTTGGCTGCAGTTATATAAGAAATGTCTGCTCATAAATACCTGGAAGACACAAACAGGGGAGAAGGGGAGTCAGAGAGTGATTGCAAGGGGGCCCCGAGAGGCAGGGAAGTGCAAATATACCTTTGCTGAAATTATTCACATGAGTGATGGCCTCAAAATATGATCTGCACCTTTATGGAAAAAAGAAAAATAGCTGCGCCTTCATCTGGATCAGCTTTATCTTAATATGCAAAAGAGCAGCTTAACTTATGATGGAGCGTCTCAGAAACTAGTTCTGTGGAAATTTGCAGTCTCTCTCTCTCTCTCTCTCTGTCTCTCTCACACACACACACACTCTCTCTCTCTCTCTCTCTCTCTCTCACACACACACTCTCTCTCTCTCTCACACACACACACTCTCTCTCTCTCTCTCTCTCTCTCTCTCTCTTTGCTGTGGTTGTGAATCCTCCAGGAACATTCACAGCTGTTTTTTTTTTTCTCTCCCCCTCCCGTTCCCATCTTTCTCAATAAAAATGAGAAAAACAGCAAGTCACCGCCACCCACACCTCTATAAATATAAACTGACCAATATATCAATTCCTCATCAGAGAGCAGCACAGCAGGACGACAGAGATCAATGTCTTATCAGCCTGCAGATGGAGATATAAGCGAACCTGGGGCTATTAGAGACAAGTATGGTTTATTAATGACTTGTTTCAAGTGCACAGAGACTGATTCAGTGATTAAATAAGAATATCTTTATATCTCATTACTTCTCAGTTTTTCTGCTTACTTTCATCTCTATTGTAAATCTTTTGAAAAAATAAATGACAAAGCAGGGCTTGCAGTGCTTTCAGAGCCAAGGCATGTTTTAACTCATTGCACAATTTATTTTGGAACAAAGATGAGGTACAAACCTAATTAAAGCAGACACATTTAAAGCAAAAATAAAACTCTAGAGTCCTTTTTTTTTTTACAACATATTTATACAAATTTCAACTATTTTCAACATATTTAATTTATAATATCAACAACTACACGACCATGAAATCTTGTAAAAGTAGACCACAATCTAGTTCTTTTGGCTTCAATATGCAATCAAGGAGAAATGTATTAAATGACGCAAGAATTACTTTTGTTTTTAAAATGCTTGTACCATTACCTTTAACTGCAGTTTATTAGTTTGCCTTGGTAGGAAATGAAATGAAAAATCTCTTGCCAAAATTTGCTAACCTGAACAAGTTGAATACACTGTATGATTTTTTTTTTTTTTTTAACTTATTGTTCCAGCTGAGGTAGGATTAGATTAAATTATTTTCAGTGTGTGGTGGGAAAAAAAAATCACAATCCTGGTAGTTTCAAGACAGAATGCCCTTACATATTTTGGAAAGAGAAGAAAACATAAAGCAATTTTGGCAGAATAATGCCATTACTACGGCTGCGGACTCAAATTAAAACTTAATTGTTAAAGCTAAATGTCCCAACGCAAAATACGTTGCATTGCTATAACCCTTCAAGAAGTCTAGAAAACTCCTGTGCATCATTCAGAGGCCTTAAAGGTAGATAGGAACAACCCTGTGCCTCCTAAATGTGATCCCTAATCATCAGCTGTACACTTCTGTCAAGAAAATTGCCAAAAAGAAACCTTGAGTGTATGAAAAGTCCTTTTGTCAGCTTCAAAACAGTAAAGCCACCTGGATCTGCCAGAGGCCCTGTGGCCATCTGATGCTTTAACATCATCCACAGCCTTTAGAAACCCAGGATATCTAAACAAGAATATCTGTCATATTTCGGCTTCGACAACACATTTATGCTAGTCGCTTAATTCACATATGCATTTGTGTTAGCTTGTCAAATTCATGAAACAGTAAGCAAACAAAAATGGCAACAAATATCCTGTTTGACATCAAGCTATGTTGACTTTTTGGTGTGACACTACGAGGCTTTAAGGAGACAATTTGTGTTGAGACAGAGATGATTTCTAACAGTATTATATTAACATTACTATCGAGTACAAAACGAGCTTCACAGCATCAGCGACAGCACTGACATTGTGATGACACACAAACGTCAGAGGCTTTCGCAGTGAAAGAAAGAAAAATGAGTCAATTTGCCTAACAAGCAGTTTTTGCCATTTGTCTGCTTTTTTCATGCGAAGGAAAGATACAAAAAGTGCATACATTCATAGAAGAAGAAAAAAGTCTGTCCAGAGGGCAAACAATGAAATAATTTCCTCACAAGTTTAGACAACAACATCACACAAAAATCAAATCAAATTTATTAACCAATGGAGGCCTGGATTTGGAGCCACACACAAAATTAAAGTGAAATGTTCCCTTTATTTTTTTGAGCAGTATATATATATATGTATATATATATATACATATATATATATATATATATATATATATATATATATATATATAATTTTTTTTTTTACTTTCAAATGAGAGAATGTACTTTCTGAACTTTCTGTATCACCTCGCTCCACCAGCGCCATATTACAGTTGCTGCTCATGCTTTTGATGTCTGTACTCAAAATGGAACAGAGCAGCTTTAAAAGAGGAAATGTGGGCCACAGAGGTTGGAGATTTATGCTGTGGCTTAATTTTCTGACCTTTAAAAAAGTGGCCCATTTCTTTTATCCGGGTCTCACAAGGGGTAAAAATGTAGCATACTATGACGTAGAAAAGGAGAAAGGGAGGGCAAAAAGGAGTAAATAAAGCATGCAGGTGAAAGCATGAGGCTTTAAGGACACCTAGTCAATAAATCATTCACAATCTATCACTTGTTTATAATGATTTCACAAGCCAGTTGTCACCATGAAGACTGGTCGTATATCTGCTGATAATCTGACTGATCAATATTAAATCAGTTTTAGTAGCAAGACGAGGCAACAATCTTTAACCATCTGTGTTGAAAGATAGATGAAAAGATGAAAGATAGAAAGGATGGCTGCATGAATGTACTGAATTGTCCTTTTCAATGTTCAGCACATTCCAAGGGAAATTTATACTGATTAGTACTCATGGTAAAAAAAAAAAAAATGCTTTAAAAGTAACTTCATTTAGCACAGCCTCGCAGAAATACATTTATTAAATGATGGCTGGGGAGAGTTTTTAAGTCATTAAGAAAAATAATGTTTGGTTAATGAACAGTGCATGTAACTGAATTTACTTTATGTTTAAAGCTAATCGGAGTGTCTAAGGACTTTTGATTAGTAGTGTATGACTTTTCATAACTAAAGGGTTGTGAAAATGTAATAAAGAGGCTGATTTTTCTCTCTCTCACTCTACAAAATAGGGAAAACAAAATAAAAAAAAAGTAATATAGAATTGATTTGATTTAGTAAGTTGGGAAGGGCTACAAGAAAACAGAAAAATGTCTAAATTTGACCTTGTCTACAGTCAAAACGATAAATAAAAAGTTAAAAATGTCTGGAACTGTTGCAAGAAAACAAAAAAGTCTGGATGCGGAAGCAAGTTGTTCTTACTTGTCAGAAATTCTTGAACAGTGTGGAGTGGTGTAAGGGAGGTCAAAGTTTACAGTCAGAGAACTGCAGCAAAGAATGGCATCATGGGGTCACCAGCTCTTCACACCAACAATTTATGTTAAGGTTTTTGTTCAAATTGTTCAGTTTTTGTTCATTAGTGATGAACCGAATATTATCTTGATGTGTATATGAATGTCAGGGTCACTGCACTCAAAATGATTCCAGTTCTTTTCTTGTTTAAACTTGAGCAACTTGTTTTATTTAGCGCCTACTTTTAGCTATGGAGTGCCTCAGAGGTCTATTTTTCGCTCACATCCTATGTTTAATCAGTTGCTCTATTATCTTTATTGTTTATAGATTTATTTGGTCATTCAAGCTCTCAGTTCTGCTTCAGCGATGTAAATACGGAAAAGTCGTAAAGACAAATCGTCTTGGATGGGGAGCAATTATTAAGGAAAATCTACGTAGCTTATTGCTAGGAAACTGCTCAAAATAGAAGGCATCCTGGATTCTCCATAACAAACATTTAGTGTATCTTTTATGTATTCCTTGTCCTTAAAGGTGTCATTAATTGTAGAAGGAGCTTGCGAGGACAATGTATGGTAAATATGCGCTTTCATTAAAAAAAATTAAAGACTGTCAATATCTTTTAGAAACTGTGAATGAGTAAGGACAACTTACCTTGCTATTTTACTTTTTTACATAAATCACACAACTTGACATAATGAGAAAACAAAGTGTGTGACTGCTATGTCACTGGAAATGGGTCAAACAAATCTGAGCAATAATCAAGAGGAATTAATCACTGAAAAGACAAAATAAAAAGTTATGTCAAACCTTTCCTCCATAAAGCCGGACCTCCAGTGGACTCACTGAGCAAAATGAAAGCAGCCGATTCTGAGCTTGCTAATTCATTGCTCTCATTCTGCTGATGGTGGTTATGAGTCAAGTGCTGTTCTCATGTCGCTAAGGTTAGACTCAGCAGCCTTCTTCAAAATACCAATTTGTCACTCCAGCTGCATAGACCTGTCCACGGAAGCTGAGTGAGAGATGAGATCAAAAATGCTTAGGGTTGTTTGGTTTTTTTTAAGCTCGGTTTAATACACAACAACGTTATGTTGCATACGCCATATATTTGCATATTTTTGCTAAATAATTTGCCTCTCATGATTAAACAAACATTAAAAAAAAAAAATCAATGGAGAATAATTACGCCTCTTTTATGGTTTAAAAGTGTCCGTGCCTTGAACCTTTCCCAATTGCTTTAATTGCTCACAAGCAATAAGTTAATCAAAGTTAATTTACTAAGTTGTCAAGTTAAACAAACGTAAAATAATTACGATGGAGAAAAGCGATTTATTTAAGTTGGAGCTGCATTCTTTTTTTTTTCTGTGCATAGAGTAGCTGGTTACAGACTATATTGTTGTGCTGGAAAACCTACTGGAATGGCACAGTCAAACTTTCAAAATAATTGGGAAATGTTGCAAGATTTGGAAAAAAAAAAAACATGCTTGAGAAAATTTTCTATGTAGACTTAGAAATAGTTTCTAGATGTGCAAAACTTGTA